AATAATAATAATAATGCAAACAACCAAAACCCACCAGTTAGGGCAGGTGTGGAACTTGAATCAGGCAGCCAGGCGCCCTGAGTCCTTGAATCTAATGCCTCAAAACAAAACAAAAAATACCCCACTCACACGGACTGCCTTCAAGTCAGAACTGACCCACAGCTGATCTTCCACTGTGGTTCTGAAGCTGTGAATCACACGAGAAGAGATTGCTCATTTTTCCCCTGAGCTACTGGTGGATTCGAACCACCAGAGTGGACTTGTCTCTGGGCTAACAGCAGAACTCTACACCCGAGCTGTGAGGACCTACCCTCTCGGCTGGACAAAGCCATGGTGACAGCACTCAGGACTGAGGGAATCCAGGAGGCCCTCAGTCCTGCCATGTCTGTGTAACAGCATCTCTCAAATGTGGCTTTAAAAGCTCACCTTTAAAAAATACAGGCTGTTGTGACTAGTTAGTTCAATCTGAGTGAAGCTCTGGATTTCTGCTCAGTAGCCTCTCTGTTGTGACAGTGAATAAGGAAGCCCATGACTCTGCTTGCTGCTGCCAGCTGCCTTTTGTCTATAAGGGAAAGCTTAGGTTGGTATGAAGTTCCCATGGTGGAAGACAGAACGGAGGAGAAACTGAATGTTGAGTGACACCGTACTATTCCTGGCAGACGCTCATTACATGATTTTAGATGAAATAAAATTCCCTTTATGTCTTAAAACCACTTGAGCTGCTTCTGCGACTTCTGTTAATAGCCTTCAAGTTCTACACTGTGCTCACCTATTTCTTGGAGTATATGTTTTATTTATTCACTTCATAACTACAAACCTTAAAGCTTATTTGACTAAAAAAATCCCTTCAAAACAAAATACAACATAAACCACATTCAAGGCCATTGTTACCCACTAAATGCTAAAACGAAAAGACTAACATCAGCAAGTAGTGATAAGATGATCCCTCTGAGTCTGCAGGAAAAGGGTGACATTCATACTCTCCCATTTGAAAAGTGTGACGGGAGCTTCCACTACAGTGAATTACACACCAGTGATTTTACACTGGGGCAGTTAGTTAAGCAGCAGAAATGTCAGCCCATGGTCATCAAAGGTACACACACAAGACTGCTCACAAAAGTGACAGCCACAATGACTGCTACCCAAGTGCTCAAGAGGAGAGAGGATACAGGAAAGTGGCATGCTGTGGAACAACCAACCAACCAACCAGCACATCAGGTCACACAAAGCTCATGTTGAGCACAGAGGCTAGATGAAAAGATACTGAGATTCCACTTGTTGTTGTTATGTGCCATTGAGCTGCTTGCAACTCATAGCAACCTTATGTACAACAGCCCTAAACTCTGCTGTCCTGTGCCAATTGCACTGTCTCTGACACACCCATCTCGAGTACCCCAGTCACTGAATCAATCCACCTCAATGGAGGGCCTTCCCCTCCCGCGCCTGCCCTCCACCCTACCAAGCATGATGTCCCTCTCCAAGGACCGGTCTCTCCTTACAACATGTCCAAAGTATGTCAGAAGAAGCCTCAGAATCCTTGCCTCCAAGGAGCAGCCTGATTTAACCCTCTCCAGGATGAATCTGTTTGTTTTCTTAGCAGTCCATGGTACCCTCAATACTCTTCTCCAACACTACAGCTCAAAGGCATCCATTCTCCTTCTATCCTCCCTAGTCATTGCCCAACTCTCTGATGCATAACAAGTGATTGCAAAGACAATGGCCTGTATCAGACGCACCTTAGTCTCCAGAGTGACACCATTGCTCTTCAGTACTTTGGAGAGGTCCCTAACAGCAGACTTTCCCATCACAGTACATCTTTTAATTCCCTGGCTTCTGGTGCCAACAGTGTTGACTGTGCAGCCAAGCAAACTAAATCCTGATGCTGCCAATTGGTCCAGTGGTGAGAATCTTTGTCTTCTTGACATTGAATCTCAATCCATATTGAAGGCTGCAGTCCTTGACCCTCTGCAGCAAGCACTTCAGGTCCTCCTCAGTTTCAGCAAGCAGGGTTGTGTCATCTGCATAACACAGATTGTGGATAGATCTTCCACCAATCCAGAAGCAGCATTTCTCCTCATAGAGCCCAGCCTCCACTTACATAAAAAACAACAACAACAAGAAAAACAAAACAAATCCACTCAAACAAACCAACAAATCCTGCAGGTGATCGATCAGTGGTCAATGCTGGAGCCTGGCATGGGCACCTTTTGAGGGCAGTGGTGAGATGGGCATGAGGAGCCTTCTAGGGCTGACGGTCATTTCTGGATCTAGATGCTGACTGTTGGTGTGGAGTACTGCTGCGTCAGAACTGACCCATAGCTGACCATCCATCGGGTTATCAGAGGCAGTTAATCTCACGGGAGGAGACTGCCTAGCCTTCTCCTATGGAGTATAGCTGGTAGATGACATAGGTTTAGTTAGCTTGTAAAAATTCATAATGCTCTTTACTTTGAACTGTGAAGTTTCCTGAATCTTTACTTCCATAAAATTTTGTTTCTTTTCCCTTAATAAAGTCAGCCTTATGAGGGTTGGGGTAAGACTCAGAAAAACTGGATAAATTATGTATACTGTATTGAAACAGATGAGGGAGAGAACAGTTTAAAAGTGCTATATGATAGGGTATTATGGTTATGATAAGAGTCCAGAATTAAGGTTGCATAGAGGAGTGCAGGGGGATTGTACACCAATGAAGGAATTTTACTTTTCAAAGAGAGGAGTGAACGGGGGGGGGGGAAGAAGAAAAGTGTAGCAATGAGAATCCCAAATCTCTGTAAATGTCATCCTTAATTATGAACACAAACTGGTTCTGAGAACAATGAGGATGCTGGGCCCCAGGCCACATCCTTGTTCTAACAGGAACCCCAAAGCTCCGGTGTTATGCTTCTGGAAGGTTCTAGAAGGAGATGGGAGTGGAATCAGAACAACAGGGGAGGGAGGGAGGCAGAACTGACTTTGTGCTTTTCTCTGCCTTTACTGTCCCAGTGGTGACTTTCTTATTATCATTTCTTAGGGCTACTCAAAGCCCAGGGAGTGGGAGCCTGTGTGGATTCAGAACAGTAACACTGGGATGGTTTGAGGGGCAGCTCAGGATGGGTGCAAGGGGGGTGGACTGAATAGGGAGACCCTTCCACCTCAGGGACAGAAAACAAGACACATGTTGTCCCCTCTCCAGCTACTGACAAACCTAGTGGGACTCTGAACCTGTGATATGCTCCCCACCATACACATACCCCCACAGTGCTAACTTTGTTACATACAATCCTGTCACCAACCCCAGAAAGCAGTGCATAATTATCCCATCATTCCAGGTGAGGAAACTGAGCAAGGTACAGTCACATGCTGAGGTCACTAAGCCTGCAAACCCCATGACCTCTTTGCCTTGGTCTCTAACGTCCCTTCTTGCATGCTTGCCTTCGGCCAACTGGCTTCTCCTCTAATATGCAAACACAGTCTATCTTCAAGATCTCTGCCCAGTGGTCTCCTTTGCCTGAACGTTACTCCCCCACACCCCTGCGTGGCTCCTACCATCTCCTCAGGAAGGCCTCCCTGATGCTCACCAGTCACCATGCAAAGGCAGAGATACTGTTTTCCTTTTCCTGCTTGGCTCCCTGGCAAATTGCCTGCACTACAAATGGGCTCCCTCAGTTTGTTGAATGACTGAACGAGAGGTAGGTCCAAGCACCCTGTGTGGATTGTATGGATAACCCACCAGAGTCCTCTTCACTCCTTCCTCCTGGGACGTGGGGCTCAGTGCCCTGCATCAAGAGGCAATTTTTTTTCTTTTTAAAAATTAATTGCTTATCATTCATATACATTGTTTCATGTGTGCACATTGTTTTATACAATCTTTCCTTTACATTCTATTTCATTCATGTAAATGGTGATATTCCCCCCGCCCACAATCATCTTTTCCCTTACAAGCAAGGTGGCTAGTGGTAAAAAAATAGTGCTGCAATCCCAAGGGCACATGGTTCGAAACCACCAGCTGCTCCGTGGGAGAAGGATGGGCAATCTCTTCCATGTGATTTACTATCTCTAAAAACCTGCTGGAGGATCAGCTGTGGGTTGGTTCTCACTC